GGGGAGATGATGCCTTGATGTTTTCTGATTTTCGCTGGTGTGGCTTCGCCTCCCGGTCCCTGCGGGCACGGCGGGTGCGGGCAGGATGCTCTGCGGTCCCGCTGGCTCTGGGCCACGCTGCTTGGAGTCCAGCAGAGCGACAGGCAGACAGCCCCGTGGGAATGGGAAAGGGGTTTGGGATCGCAGCTCGGACCTGCTGCCAGCTCCACTGCCGGTCCCTATGACCCTTAAGTGGGACTGAGACTTTGTAGCCTGAAGCTAGAGGCTTTTTTGGTTGTAGAAGCCTTGGCTAGGAGGTGTGGAGTGCTTATCTCACCTTTAGTATAGAAAGGGATCCGTGGTTCGATTGTTTCTTTTGCAGGTTATAGGATATGTGTGCATGAAGCTGTCCTTGCATCGGCAGCGTTTCCTCTGCAGGGATGGATTTTTGTGTTGGCAGGAGGGTGAGCAACCCCAGCGCTGTCCCATCCCAATGTTTCACATCAATAGAAACACCCCAGGAGGCAAAATCATGATTTAAATAAACATTTTAGCCAGAGCCTGGCTGCCCGTAACTTCACCTGGTTGGGATTCGGGCAACCAAAGACGAGGTCCCTGCCTCGTCTTCCCCTTGACCGATCCCACACCTTTGCAATGTGATATCAGAAATATCTCCTGCTCAGCGAGGACGCAGATCCCGTCCTCTGAGAGTAAACTGTTTAGTCTGACTCGGAGGCAGACAAATAAAAGCTGTGGGATCTGCAAGCAAGGAGCCCTTTGCTCCTGCCTGGGGCGCAGCCTTGCGATAACGTGGATGCGGCGAGCCCGTGCCAGCTGCTCGTGGCACGGAGGCTCCGGGCTGGAAGGGAAGGAGAGAAATTGGTTTCAGAGAGAGAAAGGAAGAGACTTTCAGGCAGTATTTGGTCCTGGCCAGCTCTGGCACTGTCATTACTTATCCCCCTTGCAGTGATCGCTACCAGCTGGCCGGGAGCTCTACGCCTGGGCGATGCTGGGGGTGGAAGGGGGAGCCCACAGCAGCCCTGAGTCATGCCTTTGGCTCCTTCCTCGAATCACAGTTTCCTGCTTAACTGCTTCGTGACTGAACCAAGGTCGGGCTCAGACCAGTTTCCAAAATTTCAGCTCTGCAAAGAGGGTCAGGAGCGCGGATTTCGCTCCCTACCCAAACACACAAATGTGTGCGCTTGTAGGTTTGCTAATTCATGCATGAAAATGCCCGGTTCCCCTGCTCCTGGAGCATCCCCGCTTCGTGCAAGAAGGCAAGAAGTAATTAGGCAGCCCTTGAGCATGTTAATGTCGCAGATCTGAGGTTCAGTCTGGTAAGCATGAAATGCTGCAAATGAAAGACTGTAATGAATTTTAACGCTGCCCCGAGAACATCCTTCTCCCTGCCTCCCCCTTTGCTTTTGATTATTTTGCAGGGTTTTTAAATGACCCTGAGCAGTATCCTTTTACCATTTAGCTTGGCTTTTCCTTAGCAACTCAAATCTGTTTCCACCCTGTCGGCCAAGGGGGGCAGTCACCAAAAGGCGGGACAGCAGGGCAAGGAGTCAGCCCCCTTCTCCTGAGTGAATTTGGATGGCAGGAAGGCTGGGAATTCTTGGCCAAGAGGGCTAGGACATGGGGATGGACATCTCCCAGGGCTTCTCACGGAAGTCAGCACTGCAAGGGTCCTTGAAAAACGTGGCTCCAAGCTGCTTGCAGAGCAATTTTACAGAGGAGCAGCCAAGTGCCAGCCCTTGGCTATGGAACAGGCTGCGGAGTGGCGTCCAGCATCACCTGCATCAAACCCACAGTTTCTGGTTTAACACGATCCTGGCTCTCCAAAAGCCACCAGACTTCCCTCCAGGCTCCCTTTCTAAATCTCACAAGCTCTTTCTGCACAGCATCTCATGGAAATGTCCCTTCCATGGGCAGCATCCTTCTCTCCCAGCCTGAAGTTTTCGCGCAGGAGGTGGCTGCCAACCGTCCCCTCCTGGGGAACTGCTTGGCCTGTGGCTTTCTGCAGCGCTGAGTGCTGTCACTGCCAAAGTCCTGCCTGGTTGTCACTCGAAAGGAGCTCATTCATTGTTGGGATGTCCCCAAGGAGGTCATGTTTTCTCCCATCTCATCCCCTTCTTCTGCTGGATATCTGGAGGCTAGCTCGTGTCCTGGCCCTCTTGGCAGCCTGGGTGTAGGTTTTGTCTTCTGAGCGCATTCCCTGCTCAGTGAGGCTGTTTGCTCTCCTGAAAGGGTAAATCTGGTGTACTATTGAGCTCTTGATACTGGGCCATTTATTTTAAGGCTTTTCTAAGGGCAGGTGATGCATCTGGGGCTCTTTGTAGCACCTGGGAGCCTGTCCTGAAAGCAAGGAGAAACTCCCATCAGCGTCACTAGGAACCCTTTAACCACAGCACCCCACTGCTTTGCTGGGCTGCCTTCAAAGGCTTTTGTATGAATTAATGCTTTTTTTAACCAACTCCATGCAGCTGAGTCCTAGCCTTGGTCTCCAAATACAGCAGGTCACGCGCTGCACCAAAGGCAGAGCTGGGACTCCTCTCCCTGTCTTTGGCACGTAAAATAAGATGTTATAAACTACAAAATCCCAAATCCATAGTCCTGTAGGATCGTCACTAAATGCTCATTATGTCTGCATCGGGGTAGGTGGGCAGTTGGCTGGGTGGGAAATGTGGGAGGGAAAGCACCACAAGATGCTTTAGCAACCACTCCTCAGTAGCAGGAAACCACCACTAAGGGGGATATTTTGGGTTCACTTAGGCTCTGGGTGATGAGCACTTGTGGTGCTAATCAGGCTGATAAATAATTAAAACCTATGCTTTGCTCTTTGGCTTTGCAGAAGTGAAGTGGTTTTGTCTGGCCCAGGAGAGAGGAGGCTGGGTGGGTGAGGGATGCTCTCAGAGGTTTTCTCTGATCAGCAAGAGCATTCGTTTAGAATCACTAATTTTCACAGTTTCAACAGGGCATCCCATTTTGAGGAGAAAGACGGCTCATTCATGGATAAATACGGGGTACCGATAGGGAAGTAGCTTTGAAAGGTCTGTGATTTAGTAGAGGGGAGCAACGGAGAGGTTCCCCTTCTCTTGGACCTGCTGTGGGGCCAAGGTGATTCGACCTGTGGGGTGGAGGGATGAAAACAGGAGGAAAGGGGTTGGTACCCAATGACCAAGTGTAGTGGGTTTACGTGGCAAGGTTTTGGTAGCAGGGGGCCATAGGGGTGGTTTCTGTGAGAAAGATCTAGAAGCCGCCCCATGTTTGGGAAGGGCCCCATTGTTTTCCAAATCTGAGCCAATAAGCGATGTTGTTTTGCGCCTCTGTGAGAGCATATTTAAGACAGGGAAAAAACTGCTGCGCCACACAGCAGCCGGGAGAGTCAAGGGAGTGAGAAACAGCCTTGCAGGTGCCAAGGTCAGTGTAGAAGGAGGGGGAGAGGTGCTCCAGGCGCCGGAGCAGAAGTCCCCTGTGGCCTGTGGTGAGGACCATGGTGAAGCAGGATGTCCCCCTGCAGCCCATGGAGTACCACGGTGGAGCAGGGTTCCACGCTGCAGCCCGTGGAGGAGACCACGGTGGAGCAGGTGGCCCTGCACCGATGGAGGCTGCCGCCTGTGGAAGACCCCTGCCGGAGCAGATTCCGGGCCGGACCTGTAGCCCGTGGAGAGGAGACCACGCAGGAGCAGGTGATCTGGCAGGAGCTGCTGCCCGTAGGGGAGCCAGGTTGGAGCAGTTTTCTCCTGAGGGATGGACCCCGTGGTACGGACCCATATCTGGAGCAGTTCTGGAAGAGCTGCTGCCTGTGGGAAGCCCACGCCGGATCAGTTCATCAAGGACTGCATCCCGTGGGTGGGACCCCACAGCACAGGGGACGAGAGTGACCGAGAAGGAGCGGCAGAGAAGAAGTGCTGTAGACTGACCATAACCCCCATTCCCCCGTTCCCCTGCGCCGCTCGGGGGGAGGAGGTGGAAGAGGGTGGATGGGGGGGAGGTGCTTTTGGTTTCTTTCCTTTGTTTCTCACTTCTCTAGCTTGTTAGTAATGAGCAATAAATCTTACTATCTGTCTTCTTATGCTGAGTCTGGTTTGCCCGTTACACTAATTATTGCGTGATTTTCTCGTCCTTATCTCAATCCTTGAGCCCCTTTCACATATTTTCTCCCCATTCCTCTTAGAGGAGGGGAGTGAGAGAGCGGCTGTGGTGGAGCTCGGCTGCCCACTCGAGCAGAACCATGACACCAAGCCACAGAGATGTTGGGGTGATGATGGAGAGGAGCTGCTCTCTCTCAGAGGCGTTTGGGCAATGGTTTCCTGCTGTCTCCTGGATTGCTAAATTCATCTCTCTGCCCTAGAAGCTAGACGCTTGTCAAGACAGAATAATTAATCCAAAAACACATGGTGCGCTGCCAAGAGGCTGTTTTTAATTAAAAACAGACCCGATCAAGTCTACTGAGAAGCTGGCGTCTCTGATGGAGCCATGAACTGTGTGCGTGTGTGCAATTTGGGGCTGCATGGCGGGGGCAGAAGGTGATTCTTGAAGCACTGGATCTGCACTCATTGCTGCTTTCCGAGCAGAAACATGACCATCGCTTCATGGCAACAGAGGGATGTTTCCTGCAGTCTTTGAAGGGGACAATCAGGATTGTAAATATTTAATATTAACATTGACATTGGGCTGAGAATGTGACCTGTGTTGGCGAAGCCCAGGGTAGGGGCTCAGCCACCATAAAACATGCTCGTATCCAGCTCACTGGGGACATTAGCCCCACAGGATGCATTTTTCCCAAATAGGTTCTTAATTCACTAAAAGGCAGGTTGTCATCTCCTTTGGTGGTGGTGGTGGTGTTCTGGTGGTGTTTGGCCAACTCTGGGGGAAGTGGGAGTCCCATATCTAGTAAGGTGCACTTGGGCATAGCCATCACTTTTGGGTCTCCAGCCATAACTTTTTGGTCCAGGAGAAGTGGATATCCCTGGCCAGATCCTACAGATCTCACTCCTGCTCTGCTGTCCTCCTAGGGCCGGTGGGGAAGGATGTTTTCCTCGGTGAAGCCGTACGAGAACCAGCGCTACGCCTCCCTGAAGAAGGAGTGCCTGCGGAGGAAGCAGCTCTTCGAGGACCCACTCTTCCCCGCCAACGATGACTCTCTCTTCTACAAGTCGAGGATCCAGGGCATCCAGTGGAAGCGGCCAAAAGTAAGTGTGCCTGTCCCCTTGCCCCATAACACCAGGCTGCTCTGCCCCCAGTGAGCCCCAGGAGCCCCTTGGCTTCTCCGTGACTCAGTTTCCCCATGGATAAAAAATGGTTTGAAGCCTGACCGCTGGATGATGCTGTGAAGGCTGGTGGCTCTGGCAAAGACATGTCTTTGAATGTTCTTCCTCATCCAAGAAATGGGAAAGAAAATATTGATGGGTAAGAGAGGTGTTTTAGGGGTCTTTGGGATGTTGTTTTTGGGGGCTGAGTGTAGTGATGCTGGGTCCTCACTGCAGCCATGACCTCCTGGTGAGTTGCTCAGCAGCTGCCAGCACCCACAGAGCTTTCGATGGTGGCACTGCTCAACTCCTTCCCCTTAACTCTTCATCTGGCAGTGCCGAAATGCTGGAGGGGAAAGGGATGCGCAGGCCTGGACCCACAGTGACAGCTGTAGGGGCAAAGTCAAATCCATCCCTTCTCTCCTGAGCAAAACCATGCCACTTCTGCTCACACAGAGCCCACATCCATCTGTGTGCCCTCTGCGAAAGGTCCTCCATGTGTCCTCGTTGCTGGGGGGAGACCAGCAAAGGGCTACAAGGATGACGAAAGACTTGAGCAAGGCCTACGGCCTTGAGACAAGAAGGCTCAAAGGGGGGATGTTATCAGTGTGTATAAATATCTGAAAGGCCAGGCTCTGCTCAGGGGTGCCCAGGGCCAGGCCCAGAGGCCCCGGCCCCAGCCTGGAGCCCAGGAGGTGCCCTCTGCCCCTCAGGAAGCACTGCTGGGCTGGGCGGGTGCCGGAGCCCTGGCACGGGCTGCCCGAGGAGCCGATGACCTCCTCGCCCACACAGCAGCCTCAAATACCAGCTGGCCTTCCATGAGACAGTGCCGTGTCTGTCTGAGTGAGGGCAGTCACATGGAGGGGGGACAAAAAGGCTTTGTGTGGCGGGAGGAGCTGGCTCCTTCTGTGTGGCAGGCAGGGCTGAGCCCCCAGGAAGGCTCCTCGTAGAAGATCTCAGTTCCCTCTGCTCTACCCTTCTGCTGCCTTCTGAAGACAGGTCACCATGATTTGGTCTCATGGCTGGAGACAATATAAAATCACAGAAGCATTTAGGTTGGAAAAGATCTCTAAAATCATCTCATCCAGCCTTTAACCTAGTCCTAAAGTCCACCACTGAGCCACGCTACTAAGTTCTACATCTACACATGTCTTAACTCCAGGGATGGTGACTCGAATCACGAAATCATCTTGCACGTAACAAGAGATAGCAGATGGGTGATGCCTGAGTCTTTCTAAACAACTTTCTTTGGGACTAAAGGGTAGGGAAACGTCTGACACTCACCCCACATCTGATGGCAGAGGGCTGGGTGCTGGTGTAGGTGGCCAAAGCACATTTGCTCATCTTCTGCCAAGCATCTGTGTCTCAGAGCTTGCTGCTGGAGCCACGGATGTCTGTGGATATTTGGGCTTTATCATGCACAGACTTTCTGGTGCTTCTTTTCAGGGAGAATGGAGACCTTTTCTGAATGGGTGGCCCAAATCTTCTCCCCCTGGCTCATTTGTGGCTCTTGGTGGCCAGGCTCATAGCACCCTTTCTGAGGGAGACGTGAGCTCAGCCAGCAAGGTAGGAGGCAGCGGTGCCTCCTTCACTGCCTTTGCAGCAGATGAAGGGAATTTCACCAAAAAAAAAAGTTTGAAGCCCACGCTGAGAAACCTCAATGTCTCCTTGATGTCGTTGTCTGGCAGGATCCGAACAGACTAGCTGCCCTGACCACAAAGTTGGCATTAAAAAATGAAGAATTTGGGCTCACATCTGCTCTGGCTACTGCTGAAGTTTCCAGAAGCCTCTTTCTCTAAAGCACTTCTCCAGTTTTTTCCTTGCAGTTGTCCATGTTGGGAAAAGTGACTGAATTTTGTGGGGAGAAGAACTGCTTTGTGCCAAGCAATGCAAAGTGACGCTCCTCATTACTGGCCCCAATTCTGCCTGAATTCGTACTGCTTTGGAAAGGAGACGGCCCAGCAAAAAGGGTCAGCATCTTCTGCACAAAGGCAAACTCAATGAGTCTGGGTGTCAGGGATCTTGATATCGATCTTGTCGCTTTGCAGGGCAGCTGGGAAAAGGTGTAAGAAACAGCACAAATGGCACGGCAAAAAATCCCACTTTGCTCTGAAACAACCTGACACCCACTGCAACGGGTCTTGCTGCCTGCTCAGCATGAAGAAAAGGTTGGGAGAGACGGGGTAGAGCCTTCACAGGGAAACTCATGGGTTCCTCCAATTCAATTCAGCATTTAGTAGGGTCCAAAATGTCCATGAAGGTGAAATCAACTGCCCTGCTTGTGCAGTGATTGCGCAGAATGGGTATTTAGCACCAAAAAGTCCTTCCAGTATCCTCTTTCTATCGCAACCAGCAAATATTTCCTTGTGCAATCCTTTTTTAATTCTTATTTAGAAAACAAGCAGAGTGCTTTGGGAACTTCCTGACCCAGAAATGACGTCCACCAGTCTCTGGGACGCTGCCTGCAGGCAGGGGATGCCGTGTGTGCACCTCTGTTATCTCCCAGGACCGTGGCCGTGGTTTGTTTTGGAGAGTTTCAGCTACAGCTGTACGACAAAGCGCCAGAGTTCACCATGCCCCAGGCTTTGCTGCGAAAGCAGAGTGGGTGGAGAGTGGGAACAAAAAGCGTCAGCTGTTAAAAACAACTGTTTGCTTTCGCAGAAAGGGTGGCACTTACAATCTGTGCAGAGAGGCGACACGCAGGAGCCACGGTTTTCACCCCTGCGTGAAAAGGAACTGCTGAACTCGCTGGGAATTAGCTTTGGCAGAGGCAGGATCTCATCCCTGTGTGTTTACACGACACTCGACACTCGGAGGGATCTAAACAGCCCATCGTGTGTGCATGTGCCTCCCTTCCCAGCACCCAGATCCTTTCTGCTCCTCCGTCTCCTCCCAAAGCCTGGGGCCGCTTTGGCCAAAAAAAAAGCAAAAAAAGGTTTTGCTGGAGCAGCTGGTGAATAGCCCATCCCAATCAGGCTGAGATTTGCTTCAATTTCCTCCCACATCTGGCCTTGCAGAGTTTCCTGGAAGGGGTTCAGCCTTCTTTTCCCCAGCGGAGCATCCTCCCTCCCTCCCTCCCTGCTCCCCCTGGCCTCCAGCCCTGCTCAGGACACCAGCCCTGCGCACAACTGGGCGAGCCTCGAATCAGGCTTTGGCTTCGGACATCTTCCAGCACAGAAATTAGCCAGAATTGCTAATTGCTCGAGTGTGGCAGGGAAAGGGAAGGTGTGCCGGGAAGGGGATCCCAAAGAGCTCTGATTTTGTGCAGCCATGTGAAAATGGGACCGGCTGCTCATCACTGAGCCAAAGCTGATGTTGGAGCTGGCTGGGACAGCATCAGGGGTTCCTTTTGTTCCTTTTATTTTTTTTAATTTTTGGCAGAAAACTTGGCTGTTGTGATAGAAATCTAACTTTTTTTTTAGGGGTTTGGGCTGAGCACAGAGACCAGTGCTTACAGCTCTTCCTCCCCCTGCTCTGAAGGCGAGGGAGGTGTCTGTAATTCGGGCACGTGGTGCCTGATCCTCAGGCTCTGAGCTCTTCACTCCCCATTTGAGACACGGATGCTGCAGTGCAGCACAGGAGCAGCAGTTTGTCTGTGAACCAAGTGAGATAACCCAAGTTTTTGGGAGCCAGGGAAAGCACCAGCCTCTGCTCCCTGGTCACAGACATCGGGATATGTGGGAATGGCACAGAGCTGCGCCAGGGGAGGCTCAGCCTGGACATCAGAAGTTTCTTTACCATGAGGGTGCTCAGGCACTGGCACAGGCTCTTGCTAAATGGCAATATTGTCTGAGTGCAGGCAAATTTGGAGGAGAAAAGCTGAGAGTCAGGTTAGTTTGGGGGGGCTCAGGTGTTTTGGGAAGGGTGACGTGCAGCTGGAGCTCGAGCAGCAGCAGGGCCGTGGCATTTTCACTCCTGCTTTGGCACTGGGGAGAGATGCTCTCATTCACAGTCCTTTCTATTATGTTTTGCTTCCAGTCAGACAAGAGAAATCTTGTTTTGTAAAGTAGGAAATAACCATTTTTTTCAGTAGCTTCTGCTGTGTCAGCCTGGCGTATATCTTGCCTGATTTTGGGTATAGTTTTAGCCATTGTCTCCTGAATTCAGTGCTCCTGTGTTTGGATGAGGAGGAGATGCTGCAGGAGGGAAGAGCATCGCTCAGATCCCCCTTCTTCCCTGCGTTATCAAGTACTTAGCTCCTTTCTGCTGCTGGGTGAGGGTTGCACAACCCATCCCTGCGGGCTTTTCCTGAAATGGGAAAGGAGTCAATGAACGAATTCACTAAAAGCAGGAGCAGCCGCAAGTTTCTGCATTAAAAGGTCTTTCCACCGGTGCACAGCACAGGCTGGGAAGCTGGCAAAAGCACAAGGGTGCTGATATGGAGGAATCCAGGGGTTAAATTCTTGCATTGCTTCTCTCCAAGAGCTCACCCGAAGCAGTGGCTTGGGGTGCATGGAGGCCACTAAAGGCCAATGCTCAGAGTACGAACCTTTTAGCCCCCTGTATCCCTCTTGGTCCCTCTCCATCCAAAAATACTATCCCCAGGTACTGGTGCTCAAAGGACGTCTCTGCTCAGCTTTCTGCTGCTTTATGGTCTGCCTCATTCGGTTTTGGTCCTGCCCGAAGGAGGCTGGGGATGCTCACTGCCACCAGACGGGTGAAGGCACCGTCTCCTCTCGCTGGGAGTCTGTCTGTCTGCAGCCCATCACGGGAGCCGGAGTCCTTCCAGATCTTTGCCTTTCCCAGCTTAGGGATTTATGAGCTGCTCTCCTGTTCATTTATCTGCTGCGGGTTGTAAAGCCAGGAGCTGCTTGCCAGTCTGGTTGCTCCACGCCAGCAAAAGGTTTGGTCACCTTTTAATGCGCTCTCTGCACTTCCCTCATTTATTTTTTATTTTTTTTGTAAGCTTTAAGTCAGCGCCGTTCACTGACTCCGCCGAGGCA